GAAAGAGACACATGACCTCCCCAAAGTTACATAGCAGGTAAGTGCTAGAGCTAAGAACTGATTTCAGGTCTTTTTGACCCTTGCCTAATGTCCTGTGTCCATACAAGGCACACTGCCCCTGTGAATTTTTAAAAGTTAATATCTGCAGATGACACAGGAAAGCTGCAAAACATTAAATAAAATGTCAAGGACTTTGCTGAAAGCGTCTTGTGGCTTTCCATTTTGTTTATCAGTCAGCATTTAGGAAGGACTCAAAACACCGTCTTCAATACTAAAGCACCTTACTCAGATAACTCCCTCTGAGCCCAAGTCTTCCTTAACAAGAAATTACGTGTTCCTTAGTTCAATCTCTTTAGCTACTTCTGCTTTATCCTACTCGGTACTTCCTCGGCTATAGGTGCCATTGTTTATTTCCCCTTCTCAAAATCCAAACCTGCAACATTCCTTTCTGTCAACATCAACAAGATTGCATATCTCCAAATGGAAAGCAAGTTACCTGGCATTAACAGATGTCCTTCACCACAAAACTTCCTCAAGCCTTTGGCCACCACTGCAGACCACCTGAACAGCAACAAAGAAGTGCTGCAACTTTTACACATGCTGCTACTTCTAAGTGGTGCGACAGGCATGTCTCTAGATGTCTGTAATGGGCCAAGGCGAGTGTTTTATTGCAGTTTCAATACCAGTTATTTAGTACAGAGTGGAGAGAGTATACGCTTTTCAACTGTGCAGAAAGCATCTCTGAGTCAAAGATGGTTTTTATACTGATTTCTTCGCCCTTCTGCCTCCTTCCAAGAGTAAGTGAACTTTGGTTCTTCTTGTACATCAGAGCTCAGATGATTACAGACTTGCTAAATTGTTTAACAAAGACAAGTTATTAGGTAATCGAGATCACTTATTTCTTAAAAATCACCAATCGTGAATTCCAAATGACAAAAACAATTGACTAAAAAAACATTACTTCTATTTATAAGTATGATAGAGTCTATGCAGCTAAACCTATCACCTTATAACAACTCTCTCTTAGCTGATCTTATGAGATAAGCACTACTTAGTCTGTGCTGTTTTTTTTTGAAATCAGATAAACTTTAGGTTTAGACATATTTATTTTAGATGTGCTTGTTTTTATAAACACTCCTCAGGAATTGGATGCTGGAAGCTCAAATGCAGTACAATTTGCAATTGAATACCCAAGGACAGTTTTGTGTTACAAATAACAATTATAATTCAAGTTTATCTCCACTACTCAAAAGGAAAAAAATCATCACTCCATCAGGAACACGGCAAAGAAAGCACTTTCTGGATACGTAATGCAGCATGGGCTTCATTCTTATACATACTTGAAAAATTTTAAAGCTTTGTGAAAAAGGCAGAATGAGGAGTTCCATATTTTAATCAACACTGAAATAAACCCTGTAACCTTACCGAGCAAAATAGCCTTGCCTTCGTTCCTTCTTCTCCTCCTTGGTCTCCATTATGTACAGTCAAATGGGCAAGGGGGGCACCCAAGCGTGATGCTCTTTTTCACCTCAGTACCTCATATCCAGGCAGAGTCCCCTGTAGATAACATTTAAAAACAGGAAGTTCATAAATCAACATGTCAACAACACCTACAAAAACCAACAAGGTTGTGGAAATGCAATTGACCCAGTGACAAAATAAAGTAAAACTTTAACCAGCCAATGCTTGACATGTGACAGCCATTCAGTATACAATGAGACAAAAAACAATAAATGCACCCAGGTCAGTTTCTCCAGCAGAGGAAGAGAGATACTGCAAAACAGAGAACCCACAGAGCAGTAGCAAGCTTTAAAACCCAGGAAGGATTAAAATATTTTGCAAGCTGTTAAATAGTTTATACCAAAACATCTTCCTAGTTTCATGTGTTTCATAGCCAGGAAGATCAAGAGAAGCTTTGAAAAGACCCAGTACAAAGAGTATAACCAGAAAGACACATAATGTTCACTTTATAAAAATTCTGTAAAATAGTGAGAAATAAGAAAGTTTTAAAACAATGTAAAGAAAAAAAGAGTGATCTACATTCTTTACACAAGTTTAACTTCTGTGTGAACCACACACAAGTTCAAATAAGTATACAGGGAGAAACACGATGGACCTCCTGCTCTCCAGATGAACTGCAGTCACCTTGAGATAGATCAGACTAGAGAAGGTTTTCTACAAGTTAAAAAATAAAAATAATAATAATTAAAAAAAAGTCCAGAGCCCAGTAACACCAGCTTTCACTGCTTTTAACATGGAAATCACTACCTCTTTGCAGAATGCTGCACTGAGCCACTTGGAAACCAGGAGCTGGGAATTTCAGAACTGCTTGGTAATTACTGCAATTAACGATATGCCACATCAATTGCTGTCTAGGATTCCTGCCAAGATGTTTCATCCTCTTCCCCTCTCCAACACACACTCAGCTTATGCTGATGGCTTGTGCACATGCACAAAATAAGTTAACTTCTGAAGAGTTTTTAACAGTATTCTAGATTAAAGTTCAAACCGAAGTTACTACTAAACATTTTAGTCTAATGGACTGTACAACGAAGAAGTGGAAGCCACATAAATTATGATTTGTAGCAAAAGAAGAAAAATTCCTCCAGGACCTAATCAGTTCCCATTATTTTCCCCTGCATTAAAGCATCGTAAGCTGCAAACTGACAGATGTCAAACAAAAGAGAAAATGTAACAAAAATAGAGAAATCTATTGAAAAGTCCAAGAACACATCATGCTAGATTCTATCAGAAATACTTGCCATAATTTTCTCTCCCTGTTTATGGAGCATCAGTCCACAGCAATTAAAGTCCATTACTTCAAAATGCACTTTTTCTTACTCATTAAATTTTGAATACATCCGGTGCCTCAAAAAGAATCTAGTCTCTCTCATCTTTATGCATCAGGTAGAGTCTTACAGTAATGGTCACTCTTTAAATGGCAAATCTGCCCATGATATCTTTGGCTTCATAAAGAGAATACTATTTTATCTCTGCATGGTCATGCATGTCACAGCCTTCAGCCAGACACAGAAACCTACATGACAGTAGTGTAAGAACAGCATCAAAACAAACTGTCCTGATTAGATGTCCAGTCTGTACGAAGATATCACATGCTTCCTGAGAATTCTGATGCATCCCTATCCTCCCTGTTGTGGCAGGTCCTTAGATCTTCAGAGGATCAAAACTGGTGGCTTTGTTAGCACTGCATTTAGTGTTACAATAAATCTGTCAAACCACAGAACCACAAACCCCTACAGCAAACTACAAAGAGTTCAAAAAAAGAGGAACCACTCTTGCCCCTTTGCTTGCTTTGCTTTCGCTGCACTCTGGGACGTTTGTACAAGAGCACTGACGGGCCAGAGATGAGTCTCACACTGACACCAAGAACTACCAAATAACCAGAGAGCACCGAGATAACATTAAACACATGACCACGAGGACAGGGGGACCCATGGGAATGAGAAGAGGGAAGTGGGGAGAGCCCTTCTCACCTCACAGAAATATGATCAGCCAGGATGGATGGAGGGGAAGTGAGAGCTGTCCTCAGGGCCTCATGCTGTGCAAGAGTCAGCTGCACACTCCTTCTGTTCCTTCTCTTCATCTCCTGTGACCTACCCTCTCCTGTGACCTACCCACCCAGGGGAACAGCAGCCCTGCTCCAGCGCAGCGCTGGCAGATGAAGGGAGTGCCACTGCTCAGGGAACCAGGAGGAGAAAACCCTGCCTGCCCACAGCCCTGCCTTGCCCAGTGCTGGAGCAGCCACCTCCTGCTTCAGCAAAGGGGACACGAAGAGGGGAGGTAGGGCTTAAGCCTAGATCAAACCACAGATGCTGAAGGAGATGCCAGCACCAAACCCATGTGGCATTGCTCAGCTCGACAAGTGTGAGGTTTGCTGTTTGCTTTCACCAACGCTG